GCAGGGCCTTTCTTTTGACTGCAAAAATAATAGGATAAATATTTAAGCACATTAATAAACTCGTTATTTTCATAGAGCAGTAGCGTTGGCGTTGCACGTTAAAATGCTATCGTTTGAGGCAAATATTCAAGAACTGGACGTAAAAGCTATAGTGTTCGTTTCCACTGACAGTTTTTTGGCGGGCTGTTAAAGACGCGAGTGAAAAACAGGCTAAACTTGAAAAGGCGGTATGCATGAGTGTATTTATAATGACGTCTGCAGTGGAATGATTCCATCTACTTCTGGTAGAGTAAGACCGATAATGTATCGTTTAACAACTCATGATTCGGAGGATTCGAAGATAATGAAAAGGAATAGTCTGACACCCTTCCATTCTACATCTGCGTAAAAAGGAACTTCCTTCACAGCATACTAGTAATCTTAGTTGCACCTTGTAATTATGCTTCTTTCCAGAGTTATATCCTGTGCTTTACTTGTGTTGCTAAATAGCTTGGTTTAAATTCCCAGTTTATTTTTGTACATTTTTCTTATATTTATTCATTTTTTGTCGGTCACTGAGACTGTTTTTTTATAAGCCTTTGACCGCTGTTCATTGCACATGTATTGTAAGTTGGTCGTTTTATTATGTGCAGAAGAAAAGTGCGGGAATTCCGTTTTGAAGAAAGTTCAGGACGGAATTTTCATACTTTTCCTCTGCACACAGTAAAAACTTCCCTAACAACTTTAACCGGGCTGTTCCATATAAGTTCATCCTCGCCTGCAACTCACTACGATGATCGCTTAGACAGACAGTCGGTTTAAGATCCGTTGTTAGTGAAGCCGGATACAGCAGCAGGGTTCTGAGCTAATTCCGTTTGGTACTTGTCGTTTTATATTCGTACGAATATAGGTATTATGTACAGAACATTCCAAGCCATAATTAAATTTGAAACAGAAACGTTGTTACTTATAATGTTGCGAGTTGCTAATGGAAGCAGAAAAACTTGTGAGTCGTAGTACATAGCATTTAAACGAAACATCCAACGATGCATTTTGTTTTTATCTCATCGAGCCGGAATATCTTCTAGATGACACGTTCGAAAATTTAGCGATATTTTATTTTCTGCGTTTTATTGGATGATTTAGTCTTATCAACTGTGTGAAGTTTTTTTGATATTACTGTTGCTTGTTTTAGTTTGCTTCTGCTGATGAAAGTGATACTGGGACTGATTCTGACGCAAATGTTCGCTCCACTACAATGGTATCTGCTCCTGAATGTTTAGCAACGAGTGTTGTTGACCAGGCAGCCGCTGCTCGTGATGGTGAAAATTGTGCAGCCGATCCAGCTCTGCCTTCGGAAAAGCCTAAAATCCAGCTTAAGGTATTGCAATTTTTTTTTACAGCACTGATTTTTGCATGCTTGACAAGAGAGGTATTGCTGAGATCATTTGATGGCAGGGGAGTCTCTCTTACAATATTTTTGAAAAAAAACCTGTTGGGGAATGTCATTTTTTAAAAAATTTTCAGAGGCTCTCCATCTGTGTTGTTTCTTTAAAATGTGCGCTTTTATAGCTTTTTTTTGATGATTTAAGGTGTATTGGAAATATAGACTGTGCGATAACTGATGTGAGATTCTTTGCTTCCACACTCCTGATGCAGCTGTGTACCAAGCCGTTCCTGGGACGCACATTTCTATGTAGTACCCACTGTTTGTTCGATTTGAGTGCATCACCTCCTCGGAGATACCCTTGAGAAGGTGCATCACATCACCTTCTCAAGGGTATCTCCTATCAATACTTGAAGTCCGCCGGTTGTCGGTAAGAAACTGGCAACTTGCCTTGCCCATCGGATTTTACTTTCTAGATTGCAGTAATATTTTACACATTGTTCTCCTGGCTGAAGGTCTGTTTATTCATGTGGTTGTCAAAATACACAGCAAGCATTCTTTGTTCCATCATTCTCCTTCACAGCTAGCGCTTGCACTTCGATTTTCGTCAGTTTCCGTACGCATGCGTCGTTGCCTGCCGTAAAGTAATTTTGAAAAATTGGGCTCAACCTTTCTTCGATACGCTGTGGGATTTGTGCGGGTTGGAATTTCAGCCTATAACGCATATTTACTTCTTGGCCAAGACCGTATGTGCCTCTCTTGCTTCCGTCATTGCGTAAGCTTTGCGTTGAGGTTCAAGAGCCGTCTTGTAGGTTTGTCAATAATTGGGCTCAAACTTGCGGAATTCTTCCATTTCAGCTTCGTCGCTGGCTATGGTGGTAGCGTAGACTTTGATGATTTTTCGGGTTTTATTGGTATCCAGCTTGGGCAGGAGTGCTGACAAAAAATGTCCTGTGAAAGTCATCTGCTTCTGACTGCAAATCACTCTGCTAGTGTTCCTGTGTCTCTTTCCATGGCCGAGCAGAATCGTTTTTTTTTATCCTTCCAGGTTACAGTGTGATCGATGTTTAGCAGTGTCTGACAACTGTGAACGTTTCGTGATATTCTTTGACTTTTACAGCATAAGTAACCAGGCTGATTTGTGTCCATACCGTCCGAGTTTAGCCGGACAAAGTGCGTCATAACGTCTTCTCGACATCTTGAGGAGTTTTAACTGTGTGCTGCCTCGATACTGCATAGTCCGTTCCCGCTCCCACATCACGATGAGATAATTAAGCCGGGATTTCATGAAGAATTTAACAAAAAAAAAAACCGGGGATACTACTATTGTACTGAATCTTTGTCTGCTTTGTCTGCCTGATCTTTGTCTGCATTAATGATTTAGTCTTTCTAATTAAGTTAGTTTTCAGGCTTCCGAAATAATTGCTATCACAGAAAGTGGTGTCTTCGATAATGCTCATGACGATGATAAAATGTCGGAGCCGGAAATTGGTGCCCTCCTTGATTCGTTAACAATGCGCCCCGCTGAAACAGAGGATTCGGAATAGCTCCGAATATCTTAACACTGTGAGTATTTTGAAATTGGAAAAATTCTAAGCGATTTTGGTTAGTCTTAGCTCAGTTATGAATGCCCAGCTATGAAGTAGTACATGTACATCGTAGAGATGGCGGCGGTAAGGTGGAGGCAAACAGCGAAAGACAGAGCTTCACAATTTCCCCAGCGAATATGGTTACATTTCATTGGCGCCAAGAACTCCGTACTGGTCGTTCTGGTGTTGTTAGTAGACTTAGTCGATAGTGTCATATTTTTAGTATGCTTCTTTGGGGATACCAAGATTAATTGCATGCTTTTCCAGCTACGCATTTTGCAACTTCTTTAGCTGCTCTTACCAAAGATGCGGGCTCCGCAGTTCCTCTTACAGAAGCAGTTAGCAGGGCTCTGTGCAGTTTATTATGTCCTTATTATATGTTCAGCACCGCCATTTTGCCTTGAGCATTGCCAGTGTTGGTTCCAAATTAGAACACTAGGGGTACTACAGTAACCTGAACAATCGGTAGGGGTATCTTATGTTAGCAGAATTTCTGGAATGATTCCACAGACCGGATGCCAGCTGTGCCAGGCCCTTTGTTCGTAAGCTCCATATCTCCAGTCAGTACTCATTCCTTGTTCAGTATGCGCTCACCGCGTATATAATAATTACTGGCCAACACACGGGATGACCGTGCGAAGATGCGTTTTTTGCATAGTTCCCCGCAGTCTTTGTTGCTACCTGCACCGGCTTTTTCGGCAAATGTTTCTAGCTAAACAAATTAAAACTGGCCGCCAGAACTTTCAGAAAACACCCCCTTAAGATTTCAGCTTTCTAGGTTTCCTGGCTCCTGAGTTAGTAAATTATTGGAAAAAAACTCACGGGCCCGTGCATGTTTGCCACGCATGCCCGGGAGCTGAATGAATGAAACTTAAGTGGACGGGGTATGTCCTCTCAAAATTAGTCCTTCAGCTTCTCAGGTACTCGAGTTATCAACTTACCTGAAAAAAATTTTGGCGGGCCCGTGTGTGGGTACCACGCTCACCCAGAGTCTGAGTTTAAGCTCGCTAATACCCACTTGGACGGGGGACATCCCCCTAAGATTTCAGCTTTCTAGCTTCTCAGATCCCCGAGTTATGAACTTAGCCGAAAAAGATTTTGGCAGGCCCGTACGCGGGCACCACGCGTTTAATGGCGCCCATTTTGGGAATTGGAGTCCGTACTTGCATGTAGGTTAAGTTCCCAGAGTTTCAGCCCTGTAACGTTTGTGGGTCTTGAGATGAAGACCGTGACAGACGCACACACAGACACAGACACATACACACACACACACACACACACACACACACATAGACAACCTCTCGTTAATATGGGTTTTCTGCATTGCATAGCTGCAAAAAACGCATAATAATATGCACTGGTAATAAGTAACGTGTGGTTGATATTGCTTTGGTCGATGACGCCCATTAGTGCTTCACAATGTGCGGTTGAATGCAAGAAGGACTGATTTTGGAACAAACCCATCAAGGCGGACCATGGCTTTGGTTTTCAGCAGGCTTATCATGGACGAGGTTTTTCGGGCTATTAGTAAAAGCAGTTGTTCTTCGATATTACTGAAGCAAACGTGGGCCATAATCATTCCTAAGCCTGTCTCGCCGGACTGGCTGTAAACTGGATGAGGATCACATTTGGTCGTGCCCAGTGTATAGCTGGATTGCTTTCCCTCATGTGAATAATGAGAAATGGACAATTAATTCTGTATTTTTGAAGGTATAGTATTGCTGTACGAGGCGCTCTGCTATATCACTGTGCTTGATCACAGTATGGTGCAACGCGATCGCTGTGTTTACGGGCTGTGAACTTATAATTTTTCGAAAACTCGTTGTTCGTTTTCCTTAATTTGATTCCAGAATAGTTCCCTTTTACTGAAATATCCGTTATGTGTCGTGCTTTGAATTTTCATTTCTCTTCTTTAATAACGGTATTGTTACTTGCGGAATAGTAAGCATTTACATTGCGAGATAACCAGAGTTACTTCAATGAAAATTTTGTTCCTTCGAGAGCCATAGCCAACTTTCGGCACTCACTTTTCATTTTTAAGCGTTTTGCGATGTGTAACAGCAGCACAAAACGCATATTGTCACACCTCTATCTTTGTATGTGTATTCGAGTGCATTTTCTCCCACTCTTTAAGTTTGGGAAACTAAAGTTTTAGTAAAATGTTGCCCCGCCCACATGCGACTCCGCAAATCTAAATTCAGCCTTCACGTGCCAACGAGTACCACGTACACCGAAAGTTCTTGCGGAGAAAATCACTAAAGAATCACGAAAACTAGGGGACTGAAATTTTAGAGTAACCTACGACCCCGCTGATTTAAATTCAGCCTTTCCGCTCGCCTGAGTTTTTTGTGTGGTTTCGTGAAAGTTTTGACGGATGGAGAAGAAAGTTACTCGGAAACCAGAGAACTAGGAGGCTAAAATTTTGAAATAGTGTTTGCCGCCCAAGGTTTCAAATTCAGCTTTCATGTACGTTTACGTTTCACGTACTGACACATGAAATTTATAAGGGGGGATTTTGCAGCTTAGGGGCTAAAAGCAATCGACCATCTTCGCACAGGGCTAAAGTGTAAAACGGTGAAAGTTCTTAGCCCGCAAATACCCGCTGATTGGAACTGCGCAAAACCCATGATCGCAACTGCTACCGTGATACGCGCCACTGTTTATTTTGAATTCGCTTCCATTTTCCTGTGGTCGAATCGTGGCCTTTTTTTGTTTAAATTCTTTGATTTTTTTTTTTGCCGTTATTTTGGTAACATTTTTCTTGCTTTTTCTAAACATCGTTTTTTCGATTTCGCGGAAATTTTTACCATCTAAGATCTCAGGAAAAATTTTGCTAATTTTTTCTGGGGCTTCTGAATTATTTATGGAATTTTTTGCTTTACTTAAAAGTCAACAAAAAAGAAGTCAGTGAAAAACTGAAAATTTGCGATTTTGCTGTGATCAAAACAAGAACTGCAACCACTGTTATCATGATCATCGTGCAGTGAAAACCGAGCTGTATCAACTCCCAAAGCACCCACCCCTTTGCAAAGCTTTCGATATCTCTTTTATTCAGCGGTTTTCAAGATAGTGTCTGAAAGTGAGGATTATCATTTCCGATTTATTTGGAGCCTGTTATGCTTGTGTTTTGCATTAGTATCTCGCTATTACAGTTTTGCTCATTCGTGCAGCGGTTTTTTGAAAGAATCACTCGTTTTAACATTCGTTGTAATTGTTCTGTTAGGTTTATCAACGTTTTTTGATTTGCTGTTTCTGCAACGGGTTTTCCTTATTTTCTCACCCGGTCCATTTTGTCATAATGTCCACAGGTTTTTTTTTTTTCACTGAACGCTAATTTTTTTTTTATTGCGATTTGTGGTATCCGAACCAGCGTGGAACAGTGCTTCAGTTCCCTTTCATTAGCGATATCTGAGCGAACATTTTATTATTATTTTACAACAAAGCGCTTTTTTTGGTTTTTGGTTTTTTTTTTTAAAGCTGTGCTTATAAATCCGTATTTCGAAGAAATCTCATTTTTTTAGGAACTTTTCTGTTTCGATCATCACGCAACGTTATTTTTCAATCTCTTCTTTATTTTTAGCGCATGTTTCCGTTATTTTTTGTGGTCGAACATCACAGGCATGTTCACCGTTCTTAACATTCATTTTTACCACCTTTATTCCTCGTTGAATTTCATTAAATTAATGTCAAATAACTCGTACTGTTGCAAAAAACATCGCTAAGGCGAGAAAAAAAAAAATGGAATGTGCACCGAAATTATGTGTCGCGTAGGATGTGCAGAAATTATGTGCAGAATTTACCATCCGCTGTAACCGTTTCAAGCTTGATCGATGTAAGAACTGCAGCTCAGCTTGTTTAAAATCAGCTGTGCACACCAGGCTTCCCGGTGCGATCTTGCGTTTTACGTGGTCCCACGGAGAGCAGTAAGATTTCAACTGTGGAATCGTTGCTTTACAGTTTTATATGCGCAGTTATGTTGGAAGTGTTCTTGGTTTTTTTTTTCTGTACGTTTTAGATGGAGTGCCGGTCGAGCTGGTGGTGTTATGCTGTGGGGCTCCATGAAATTTCGACTTTCAGCATGCCTGACAAAGTGAGATGCCGATGAGTTCTACAACTGAAACTTTGAGATACTGGCGCATTGGATTTCGGCATTATATAAGCTCGTCTTGCCCTCGCGAAAAAAAAACCTATCTGCTCCTTCCTAATTAGCTTCGTTTTTGAATTGGAAAATTTTGCAACCCAGAAGTTTACCGTATCTTACTCAGGATGCAGGCATACGCGGGGGGTGCTCCTGCACTTTAGTGCTGTGCAAGATCATGCCAACGTTCTCGTGAAATAACGGATTAGCCTAACTGATGTCCGAGAGAAGGAATGCCGGCAATATTAAGAGCTGAACTTTGATGTGTCCGGATGTACGATACAGGCGTACGCGAAATATATTTTAGGGTTGCCTCCACCCATGAAGAGAAAATATTTAGAATATCAAGTCAGCTGTCGCCATTAGTGCGGATATCTAGTTGCAGTGGTGTTACCTCTCGAGTGGTGGCTGAAGTTATCCTAGACACGACTGGTATTCTGCATGCTTTTCGTCTGGCGGGAAGTATATCGAGAAAGAAACAATCATTTCTTTGAGGAAGGAAATAATTCTGACTTCATTTTATTTACGGTTCGCATGAGGGTACTTTTCATATGAAACATATTCGTCTCACTTCTGTCTCATTTGCGCCCGGAACATGAGCACGCATTCCTGGGCGGGTGTAAGGTTTTTACAATTATGCTCTTTACCGGCGGTGAAAGAACCGAGGCACTAACAATCGTCCGAAGCGTCTCAGCCGATCCCCAACATCAGCAAAGCGTAACATCGATGAAGCACAGCGGAAAGTATTATTGAATGAGCGAAATAACAACCCAGGCTGGAACGCACCAGGCGAGCCGGTGCGATCATGCGTCTTTGCATC